TTCGGGCTCCCTTCCCCAGAAACCAGAGGCGCGCTGGATGTGGATAAATTTGCCCCTAGAGGCTCGACTGTTATCCATATCCAGTGCGCCTCGGCCTTGTGATACTCCTTCTCAAAAAATCCAAGACGCACTGGATATGGATACGCACCTTGCCCGCATTGTTCTCGCCAGCGAATTTCTGCGGGGCCTCGGCCGCGGCCGCCCCGCAGGTGGGGCACGACGCGCTGCACGAACCGGCTGCCCTTCGTCTACTCCGAGAAGCTGCAGGCCGCGGGCCGCGCCCAGCACGGGGCCCCGGCCCGGCTCGGGCCCGCGGACGCCCTGTGTGCATCCGTTGCCCCCATAGCCGTGGGCCTTCCTCCCCCCTCCTCCCCCCTACCTCCTCACTCCCTCTTTCCTTTCCTTGACTCCTCCTCCTCTCCCTCCTCCCCCTTCCCCTCCCTCCTTTTCCCTCCTTCCATCCCCCTCCCTTCCCCCCTCCCCTTTTCCTCCTCCCTCCTCCCTCCTCCTCCCCTCCTCTCCTTCCCTCATCCTCCCCCCCTCCTCCCTCCTCCTCCTCCTTCCTGTCCACCCCCCCTCCCCCCCCTCGCCCTTGTCCCTTCCTACCCTCCGTCCTCCTCCCTCCTCTCCATTCCTCCTCCTCCCTCCTCCTCCCCCCCTTTGTCCCTTCCTTCCACATCCGTCCTCCTCCCTCTCATCCTCCTCCTCCTCCATCTCCTTCTCCCTCCTTCCCTCCTCCTCCTCCTCCTCCTCCTCCTCCTCCTCCTCCTCCTCCTCCTGCTGAGGCGCCGTCGATCCGCGAGCCAGGAAGGGCCCTCCGAGGAAGAAAAGGAACCCATAACTGCTGCCCTCCCCTCGTTGTTGTCCCTTCCTGGGCCTCCGAGGGAGAGGCCCGCGGCGCCACCGCTGGATTTTCGCCTCGAACTCCTGGTCAGCACGCCCCTCGGGCGAGGTCTGGGGAGTGGCGGATATCGGTCCCTGTTGGTTTCCCCAGCAGTGGTACACACTGTTCATGTCTATTTCTTCGAAGGTTCATTGATTTGTTGGGGGGTCAAGATCCTTTCATTTCTAATTGCTCTGTCCTGGGCCTCTTCCTGGCCACTAAGGGGGCCAGGAACAATGAATTAGAAACGAGCGCAGTTAGAAATGAGCACGATTAGCGTCACAGCTCGCGTGCAGCCGTTGCGCCGTGAAGCATTGCCACGGCAAAAAAAATGAGCACGATTAGAAATGAACGACGTGTACGGTGAATGCATCCCCAGGACGAGATTTTTTCCCCAGGCCTGGACATGATGGTTTCAGCTTGTTGCGCCTGGCGCGCACGAGAGAAACCGTGGCGTATCCAATTCAGGCGGTACGGATCCGAATTTGGTTTGGACTTGCTTTGCGGTGGATCTGTTTTACGTCCGCGCCAATCCGATTGCAGATGTTGTGGATTTGATTTCCGTGCTGTTTTTTTCACGCGGATCAGTTTTATAGTTTGTTGAAGTTGTGCTATAATTCGGGCGGGGGGCCTAGGTAAATCGGATCCGTGGCGCCCATGCCAACCGCTGTTAAGATTTTACGGGGGAGGGAGGTGCGAATTGCTACAGAGGTCGCGCGCTGTTTCGCGGGCCCCGTCAACCCTCACCGCACATGGGTCGTACCCAGCACGGGTACATCTCTCTTTTCGCCCCCTGGTTGCTGCAAGCAACCTGTCTAGACGCCGCGCGTTTCGGTGGCGTCGTCGCAGCTTCGCCAACCGCTTGTCGCCGTTGGCGACTGCAGAGGAGCCTGTTTCGTCCTGCGTAAGTCGTGCCTACGCCTTCACAGCCGAAGCTCTATGCACGGTATCGCGTTGGAGCGGGGCCTGAAGGGTGTCCACGCAGGGCACGGTGCATGGGCGCCGTTCTCGTATGGAGAAGTCGGAGCCGTGGTGGGCTCTTCGGCCCTGGTCCTCAGCCCGTGGGGCTCTCCGCCACGTGGGGCAGGGGGAACGCTATGTCTCGGACGTTTGCGCTAGTTCTCGGCGGTTTTCCAGCCCGGGGGTGTGTTCCAGCAGCTGCGCTTCGCCATGGGCGTTCCGGCGGTGATCGGATCGTCCCGAACGGCCGCCAGAGGCCCGCGACACGTGCCTTCTTGCACTCCTGTGGCGATGTGGCCCTCGGAAGGGTCTTGTGTCCTCTCGCGTATCCTGTCCAATCCTCCCCCTCACGCCGGCTCGCCCGCCGAGGCGCTGCTGAGGTCGCCGGCCCGTCGGCGTTAGGCAATTCGGCTCTTGCGCGGCCCGCTCGGACCTCACTCGCCGCTGGCGCCCTCGCCTGCGGTTGCGACAAAAGTGTCCTGTCCAACCAAGGCCGACGGTGCGGGGCCCCGAGCAGGAGCAGCCCTCTTGCCAGAGTGGCCCTCGGTGCGGGCCCGCGTGGGCCCCCCGATCGCGGAACGCGGTGCGGTTGCAGCGGCATGCGCGCGCGGGTCTGGCCCCCTTGCGCCGCGCGCCAGTGCCCACTCCTGCCGAGGGTCACTCCCGCGTCTGGCCGACTTTCAGGAGGGAACATAAGCACACAGACACAAACAATCGCCGCTTCTCAGGAAAAATATGCAACACTAGGGGAAGTGGGAGGGAAGACAGAGAACCCTAAAAATATAGGAAAATATGGGGGGTAGTTAATTGGTGTGTGTGTATTTATTGGTGTGTTCTGGGGCCCCTTCAGTCTTGCGGATCGATCCAGCCCGTTCGCGCGCCGCGCGGAGAACCCGAGATCGAGGCGTTCCTTTCTGCCACCGCTCTGGGCCCTTGGGGCGCCTTCGCCGGTCGGTCTGGCCCGACGGGGCGCCGTGGAGACGTCGCCACGTATTTTTTTGCTGCTCCGCTTCGGCCCCATGGCATTTGCGGTTCGGCACAGCCCAACACGGCGCCGTGGAGGAGGATGACGAGAGGAAGGGAGGAGTATGAGGAGGGAAGGGGTGGGAGGAGGGGGGAAGAGGAGGAGGTGGAGGAGGTGGAGGAGATGGTGCAGGAGGAGGCGGAGGAGGGAGAAGGATGGTGATAAAGATTATGCTTATTAGAATGATTATACTGATGATGATGCTGATGATGATGGTAATGGTGATGATGATGATGATGATGATGATGATGATGCTGCTGATGATACTGATACTGATGCTGATGATGATAATTCTGGAAATTATAATGCTGCTGTTGCTGATGATGCTGATGATGTTGCTGATGGTGATGATGGTGGTGATTATGATGATGGTGGTGATGATGGTGGTGATTATGATGATGATGACGAGGATGATGGTGCTGCTGATGACAATGATGATTATGATGAAACTGATGATGGTGATGGTGCTAATGATGATGATGATGATGATGATGATGATGATGATGGTTATGGTGGTGGTGGTTGTGATGGTGATGGTGATCCTTATGGTGATGCTGAGGCTGATGCTGATGCTGGTGCTAATGCTGATGCTGATGCTGTCGGATATGATGATGGCGATGATGATGATGATGCTGCTGCTGATGATGATGCTGCCGATGATGATGGCGACGATGCTGATTCATGTCATGACGAAGATGATGATGACGATTCTGATGATGTTTATGACGAGACTGATGATGCGGCTGCTGTTTATCATGATGACAGTGATGGTGGCGTTGATGGTGAAGTTGATGGTGGCGACGATAATGATGGTGATGCTGATGCTGGTGTCGTTGATACGTGTAAGGATGGTTGTGATGATGATGCTGATGCTAATGATGATAATGATGCTGATGCTAATGATGATACTGATGCTGCTGTTGTTAATGCTGGTGGCGCTGATGCTGATGCCGGTTCTGATGATGATGATGCTGATGATGATGCTGTTGCTTATTACGATGTTGTTGATGCTGCTGCTGCTGATGATGATGATTTGGATGATGATGATGTTGATGCTGATGATGCTGTTGTTGGTGATTATGATGATTATGATTATGATAATGATGTGGATAGTGATGATGTTGCTGATGATGATGATGATGCTAGTGCTGGTCATGATGATGGTGATTATGCTGCTGCTGTTGATGATGATGATTATGATGATGATGATGATAATGATGATGATGCTGATGATGATGATGCTGATGCTGATGATGATGATGATGATGATGATGATGATGATGATGATGATGATGATGATGCTGATGATGATGATGATGATGATGATGATGATGCTGCTGCTGCTGATGATGATGATGGATGATTGATGATGATGATGATGATGATGATGATGATGATGTGATGATGATGATGATGATGATGATGATGCGACGATGAACGATGCGGACGATGAACGATGGTTGGGCGATGGTGATGTGATGATGACAACGGTGGAGCTGGTGGTGGTGGTGGGTGAGGAGGAGGAGGAGGAGGAGGAGGAGGAGGACGAGGAGGAAGGAGGAACATACGGAAGAGGAGGAGGAGGAAGGAGGAGGAGGAGGAGGAGGAGGAGGGGGAGAGAGGAGGGAGGAGGAGGAGGAGGAGGAGGAGGAGGGAGGAGGAGGAGGAGGAGGAGGAGGAGGAGGGAGGAGGAGGGAGGAGGAGGAGGGAACGAGAAGGAGGAAGGAGGAGGAGGAGGAGGAGGAGGAGAAAGGAGGAAGAGGAGAAGGATGAGGATGAGGATGAGGATGAGGATGAGGATGAGGATGAGGATGAGAGGAGGAGGAGGAGGAGGAGGAGGAGGAAGGCGGAGGGGAGGAGAGGAGGAGGAGGAGGAGGAGAAAGAAAAAGAAGGGGGAGGAGGAGGGAGGAGGAGGCGGAGGAGGAGGAGGAGCAGGAAGAGGAGGTGGAGGTGTCGGAGGAGGAGGAGGTGGAGGCGGAGGAGGAGGAGGAAGAAGAGGAGAAGAAGGAGGAGGAGGAGGAGGTGGACGAGGAGGGATGAGGTCGTTCATGTGTGCCCGTGGAGTGCCCGCGCGTCCCCTCCTGGCCCCTATCCCCTGTGGCCCTCCGAGTCTCGGACCGCCCGCTCCGCAGGCGTTGGCCAGGGGCAAGCGCAAGCAGGACGGGTGGGAGGATCAAGGAGGAGGAGGAGGAGGAGGAGGAGGAGGACCAGTGGAAACCCAAGAGTCATCAACGATGTTGGAATTAACCCTCCCTCCAAGCTCCCTCTTCATAGGCCCCTACAACGGTTCATTTCCATTGAGGGCACTGCCTCGTTGGAAGACAACAGTTTGGAGATCCTGAAGCGTGCCAACACATTGTCCTCGGGATTTCAACGCCACGTACCAACCTGACTGCTGCGTCTTGACGATCAAGAATTGTGCCAGAACGCCGTTTTTGGAAATCCAACACAGCGAATCAACATAACTTTTGCGCCCGCATAATCCGGAATCCTTCCAACACGCTATCTCTGGTACGTTGATCATGGGGATCCGTGAAACTCTTGCCATTTTTAAGGCAACGATTGTGCGCGGCGCTAAGGCGAGAGCCACATGTTGACGAGGAACCGCCCTCAATTCGTGAAACTCTGGCGAATGTTTGAAACGAAAGTGCGCGGCGCTAAGGCGAGAGCCACATTTTGAAAACGGCCCGCCCTCAATCCGTGAAGCTTTTGCAAATGTTTAAAACGAATGTGCGCGGCGCTGAGGCGAGAGCCACATTTAAAAAAACACACCCGCCCTCAATCCGTGGAACTCTTGCATTTTGTAACGGATGTGCGCGGCGCTAAGGCGAGAACCACATGTTGAAAACGACTCCATCTCAATCCGTGAAACGCTTGCATTTTTTACAGCGGGTGTGCGCGGCGCTAATGCGAGAGCCACATGTTCGCCCTCCATATGTGAAGCTGTTGTCACTTTATCAGCTTCAGAGTCATAAGTGGTGAGGAAGTCTCAGGCGGAACGCCCGACCAGGCCTAAAACTGGCCTCGGGGTGCGACAGGGAGGAGTTCTCTATAAGGAGAAGGAATGGAGGAGGAGGAGGAGGTGGTGGAGGAGGAGGAGGAGGGGGAGGAGGAGGAGGAGGAGGAGGAGGAAGAGGAGGAGGAGGAGGAGAACATTTACATTCGCTTCGGAGGTGAACTAAAGCACAGGCGCGTTCCTCGGACAGCAGCTGACCCCACAGGCATTGCCTGGGGCGCTGCCAGTTCCGATTCGGCTCCACCGAACCCTACCCCAGGGCGGCGAGCACATTGCGCTGGCAGTTTTAGGCCTGGGCGGTGAGGATTTTTCGCTGGCAGTTTTGAGCGAGGGGTGTGGGGATACTTCGCTGGTAGTTTTAAGCGAGGGGTGTGGGGATACTTCGCTGGCAGTTTTGAGCCACGCGCGTGGGGATATTTCGCTAGCAGTTTTAAGCGAGGGTGGTGAAGATTCTTCGCTGGCAGTTTTAAGCCAAGGGGTTGAGGATCTATTACTGGCAGTTTTAAGCGAGGGCGGTGAGGATATTTCGCTGGCGGTTTTAGGCCAAGGGCGTTGGGATATTCGCGGGCAGTTTTAAGCGAGGGCGGTGAGGATTCTTCGCTGGCAGTTTTAAGCCAGGGGGTTGAGGATATTTCACTGGTTGTTTTAAGCGAGCGGTGTGATGATATTACGCTGGCAGGTTTAAGTCTGTGCGCTCAGGATATGTCGCTGGCAGTTTTAAACCAGGGGCCCCTGCCTTGTCCAGTCGAAGGCTCCGCATCCAGCGCGGTGCTGCGCCCGTAGATGTGCTCGCCCCTTGGCGTGGGGCTGGCGGGGGGTCAAGGGGCCAGCTGTCCGTTGTTTACTCGTCGTCGTCTTTCTTTCCTTCGTAGACTTGCGCTTCCTCTTCTTCTCTCTCCTGCTCCTCCTGCTCCTCCTCCTCCTCCTCCTCCTCCTCCTCCTCCTCCTCCTCCTCCGTGCTGGCCGCGGAGAGGACGGCGGCGCCCCGGCCGCTGCCTTCGCAGCCGCCCCTGAACCGCAGCCTGGGGGCGCCGAAGACGCTGCGGCGGATGCGGAGGCGCACCTCCCGAGGGAGGAGGGATCCGAGGAGCGCAGGGAGGAGGGATCGGAGCCGGGGCAGGAGGAGGGGATGGGAGGAGAGGCGCGAGTGAGCGACGCGAGGAGGGCTTGGAGGAGCGAAGGGAGGAGGGGGCCATGGAGCGCACGCAGCAGCAGGAGGAGCAGGGGAGGCGGAGGGCCCCAGGGGGGTGGACAGGGAGGAGGGACACGACCGGGGATCCGAGGCGGGATCGGAGGAGCGGTGCTCGAACGACCTCCCCCCCGAGGCGCTCGGGCCACCTCCCGCGAGAGGCCCCCCGGGCGTCGCACTGCTTCCTGCGCACTCGGCGGTCACGCCCGTGCGCTCCGAGGAGCTCCCTGGGGGGGGCACCTGCGCGCCAGCAAGAGGGCCGCTCCGCGGCGGCGTCCGCAATGTGAGCGCTCTCACTTCGGCGTCACCCCAGCGTGCTGGTACGATGTGTGCGTCGCCCCCCCCCATGGGGCGACGCGCGCACCGAGGAAGTCTTCTAGCACATGCGTCGTGGCGGGCGCTTTCTGGCCACACCGCTCGGGAAGCGATGTGCCACAAGATGGGGGTACTACTGCTCGGGTCGGACGCGCTTTCAAGGAGGACATATAGGGCTAGTATGTCTCTGTGCGTCCCGTCCCTCCCTCCTCCCGCCCCGCGGCCGCCTCGCCTTTCTTTTCCTCCCCTTCTCGCCGGTTAGTTTGCGCTTTCCGTTGCCCGTGCCGCTAGAGGGCGCGTGCGGGCTGCCCCTGCCGTGCTGCGACGCAGAAAAGTCCTCCTGGAAGACGACGGTCGGGTTGAAACACATGATTGGATCACCCGTATCATCGTGTATGTGTCGCCGCGCCATTTTGCCCACGCGCGGCCTCACGTCTTAGGGAGGGCGCCGCAGACACCAGGGCAAACTCCGCCTCGGGCGCGGCGCTTTGCCGTGGGTTTGCTGCGGTGCCCGCGTCGTCTCCTTGGGGCGCGGGGCGCAGGGCTTGCCGTGGGTTCGCCGTGGTGCCGGCGTCGTCCACTTGGGCGCGTCGGGAACAATCGGCGCGACGACGAATGATCAGATCACCCGTACCATCGCATCTTGAGTGTGCTTATTACACAGTCGTGCCCTAGTGCCTTCCCAACCCCTTCCTCCCGACACGGTGTCTGTCTCTTGTCAGTGCTGGCTCCCGAACATCCCTGGGCTATCCAGGGGGCGCACCGGGCGCCTGCTGGGGGCACTCGTGCCGAAGCTCTTGGTGGCCGCGGCAGGCGCGCTCTGCGATGGCTTTCGGGCCCACCGAGCCGCGACGGGCACACCCTCTCGGATCGATTCGGCCCGAGGAGCGGGCCGAACGACAGGGGGGGAGAGGGAAAGGGGGGGGTACCAAATCTGCTGCATGCAGCTGGTGTCGGCCCCGCCGCCGGGCCCATTCCTCGATACATGGGCGCCTCCCGGCGCGGGGAGGCGCCGGGAAAATCAGCTGCGTGAGTTGATTCAAAAATCCCCCTTTTGCTATCCCCCTCGTTCGCCCGGCCCGAGAGGAGTCGTCGCAGAAGGACTCTTGCCTTAGGTCGGGCCTGTGCCCCTACATGGGCATTTTGGACGAAAAATGAAAGATAGTCAAACAATATTCAAAAGATGCCCAAAAATACTCAAAAAGTAGTTCCCAGACTATTTTTGGACTATTTTTGAATATTCCCCCTGTAGAGGGACAGGCCCGACTTAATTCTTACCATGCCGTGTTTTTTTTTATTATTATTTTTCGGCGGCGGCGGACCTCGGAGGCGCACCCCCCCCGCTGGGGCCGGGGAGCCCGCGCGCCGCCGCTGCTGCCCTGCCGCCCGTGTGGCGGAGGACCAAGCCGACCTGCTTCCCCCCCCCGTCGCGGAAGAGTAGGGAGTGTTGGCCTTCATACACCCGGGGGCGCCCTCGAGGGCGCGAAGTTATTCGCGCTTCGCGGTTCGGCCCCGATCCCTCATCCTCCTCCTCTCCCCTGGGAGGCGGCGCGAGAGCGCGAAGTTCTTCGCACCTCGGAAAAATGGGGAGTGTTGGCCTTCGCACATCGGGGGCGGCAAGGAGGGGGGTGAGGACTGGGGGGGGTGGATATCATGGCGGGGGCCATGCTACTTCCCAGATCTCATGGCGCCTCTTCTTATTTCGTCACGTCCCTGGCCTCCCCGCTGGGCCGCGCACATGCCGCCGGTCATGATTTGCACCCCCCTCTCTTGGACACCCCCCTCTTGGCCGCTCCCGATCATACAGGCGAGCATCTGATGAAGAAACCTCCTTCCGAAAAGCTGGGCCAGCGTTTCTGAACCAGCCTGCCCGAGATCTGGCCCAGGTTCTTTGAGAGTACGGTCCGTCCTCCGGCGGTAGCGGCAGACATTGGCCCAGGTTTGTCTGAAGAAAATTCCGCAAAGCTGGCCCAGGTTCCATGAACGATGGTTTTCTTAATCGTAACTCAGGATGCACGTTTTCTCTGCTAGGGGGGGGGGGCAGATTTCTGGCGACCCGAGGAGGCCGTGCTGGGGGCCTTCCGTTCCCGCCCCGGGGGGCCGTCGGACGAAGGTGCGGGAGGAGAAGCCAGTTCCAGGGATGCGTCAGGCGAAGATGCTGGATGAAGATCCAGGGACGTCAGACGAAGGTGGAGGACGGGATGCGGGTCGCTTCGGGCGGCCCGTTTTCGACCCCTCCCCCCCCTCTCCCTGGAGGCCCCACGGATCGGGCCAGCGCGGCGGGGCCCGCAGCAAGGGGGGGTCGAGGGCCCGCTCCGCAGGGCCTGCTCGGCAGGGCCCGCGGCCGCGACCTGTGCTTGCTGCGCGTCGGATGTCCAGGACTGCCGTCAGACTCAGACTGCTGGCTTGCCGTCGTCGAAATCGTGGGAGTGGAGCAGCCGTGGCGGTGGTGCTCGTCATCGTCGCCGTCGTCACAGGAGCTCGTCGTGGTCTTCGTCGTGGCCGTGGTCCTCGGCGTCATCGCCGCCCCCGTCGTGGTCGTCCGTCGTCGTGGCCGTGCTCATTGTCGTCGTGCGCCTTCCCCCCTCCCACCCTCGCTCTCCCTCTCCATCCTACGCTCCTCTCCCCGCCCCCCCTCTCCCCCTCTCCCCCTTCTCCCTCTCCCTCCTCCTTCTCCAGCTCTCTCCTTCCGCCCGTGTGCGCCCTCTGCAGCCCCCCCCTAGGGCACCCAGGGTAACTCCTGGATCGTGCGTCGGGGGCCCAAACCTTGGCATCGCTCGGACGTGCGCGTCTTCCTCGGCAAGGACCATCTAGAAGCACTTGAAGGCATCTTGCGAAGCATACCACCTGCACGAAACCAGAAAATGCCCAGAGGGAATGGACGTGGGAGCGATGGCGAGAAGCCAGAGTTACCCTAGACCGAAGGTGTCCTGGGTAATTTGGGCGTCCAGGTCGTCGCCGTCGCTGCCCTCGCCCGACGCCCAGGCCGCGCCCGACGCCCCGGCTGCGCCGGAGCCGCAGGCGGGGCCGGCGGCGGCGCCCGCGGAAGGCGCGGCGGGTGCAGCGCGCAGGGTGCGCTCTTCGGCCTGCCGCGCCGCTCGGCCGGGGGCCTCGGCGGTGGCGGCGCCGACGGTGCCGGCGGCGGCGGCGGCGACGGCGGCCATGGCCCTCGGCTTCGCGTAAGAGTGACCCTTCTCGAGTGCACGTCGCAGCGACCCTTCGCCGGAGTGGCGACCTGGTGCGGGCTCAGCGGGGCCCCCCGATCGCGGAGCGCGGTGCGGCAGCGGCCGCCTGCGCGCTCCGAGGTTGCCAAGCGGCGCCCCCGTGGTCCGCGCACCGAGGGTCCTGGCATCGCTTGGACGTGTGCATTTTTTGTCTCGGCGAGAACCATCGAGGACCATCCTCGACCAACGAGCAAAACAAACACGCACGAAACCGAAAAATGCACGGGAAATGGACGTCCGAGAGACGGCGAGGGGTCACCCTTGCCCAGGGTCGCTCTTGCGTGCAGCCGGCCCTCGTAGGAGTGACCCCCTCGTGCGGGCTCACAAGGGTCTCCCCTAGCTTTGGGGCCTGCGCGATTGGATCTGGCCCTGCCCGCGGCCTGGGTCATGTTCTTGCCTGGGGTCACTCCTTGCGTGCCGTCGAGTGGCTCATGTCGGCTCCCGAACCTGCCGCGCTGATCCTCGCAGCTCGTCCAGTTCCAGCCGCAACTCCCTCCCTCCCCATCCCTCCTTCCCCTCCTCATCCGTTGCCGCTTTGGTTTAAGATGCCAGGTTCTCAGATGAACCAATCGGATACTGTTATCCCGCGGCTTGATCCCAGTGCTTTCTCCCTCGAGTATGTCCACACGGGCTCGGGACGCGTGCTCCGACCGTCCTCAGGTCGGTCTTCTATCTTTCAGTGTCACCGCGGCAAGGAATAGTGACGATGCTCGAGCGCACGCTGTGTGCTCGGGGTGTCAGGACTGGGAACGGAGCTGGCGTCCCAAGAGGAATGGCAACAAGTGCAAGGTCTGCGGGCAGATGCCGTTTTTCCGTGACCCAGCTTGGCGCCAGTCCAACTCAGCTCCGTCAAGGCGCATCGGCCGTGGGCGGCCACGCGACGAGGACTGGCCTGTATTCCCAGCTCTCGGAGGCGCGCCATGGCAGCCCAACTCAGAAGAAGGCTACCTCCAGAAGTATCTCTAGGCGGCGGGCCTCACCACCCTCCCCGCAGCCATCGCCCAGGTCGGACAGGTCCAGGCGCGGTTTGCTGCCAACGCTCTGCAGTCCAGGCCTGAGTTCCTGGACGTTTTCCAGCGTGAGCGTTTAAGGCAACCCAGAAGTTGGTCCAGGCTGAGGAGTACCTGCCGGAGGCGCAGCCGAGGCAGCCCAGTGCAGCATCGGAGCTCCGTGACGCGGACCAGGCGCGGCTCTTGGCGCTGGCGACTACACCGGGTCGTTCCAGCAGCAGTTCGAGACCGCCTCGTCCCAGGCCAAGGCTCGCGAGAACGAGATCCTCGACGTCTTGGCTGGGGCAAAGAAAACTCTGGCCGCTCCGCGCCAGAAGCGCAAGGCTCGGGGCGGTGAGGCCAAGCCAGTGCCAGCTGACGAGGGGGAGGATCTGAAGGAGGGCTCGTGGGGGGCGGCGGGGGCTCAGGCTCCGCAGGCAACGGAGGTGGTGCTCTTGCCACAGGTACGGACACCAGCGCAAAGGGCGGCGGCAAAGGCGACATCGCGCCAGAGGACTGCGCCCGCCAGATCGACTCCACTGCCAAGAGCGCCCGCGAGGCTCAGCGCATCCTGGCCTGAGCAGGGCAAGGCAGGTGCTGCTCTTCCTCAGTCTGCTGTTTAGCCCTGGCATCGCCGACGCCGAACAAGACACCCGGATTTCCCTTGCTAGCATCACGGGGTGGGGCCTTACGGCCCATCGGTTCATCGCGGAACATTACTTGACGCATTCGGTCGTGGCAGTTGCCGAGACTCACAAGGGCCCCGCTGACATGCCGCAGTCGAGTCAGACTTCTTCTAGGACGGGTGGTGGCAGCGCGCCTGTTTCGGGCAGGCGGGATCCCTCCTCCACAGGACGCACGGTTGCGAACAGTCGCACTAAGCAGAGGTCCGGAGCCAGATCCCCCCTCCCCCCCTTCCGCCCAATGTCGAAACGCCGAATGAAAAAAAACGCTAACAAGCCAGCGCACTCTGGATTTGATCGAGCAGAGAAGAGCGGCGCGCAGAGCTGGGGACCACGACGCAGATCATCGTTTACATAAAGCAATCTGGGAGTCTGGAGTTCAAGATTGTGAATACTTGCTTGGGCATCTTATACAAGGGGTAGCATGCGAAGCAGTTCGGCGTCCCCAGAAACCACAAAGCATCAAGCATCCGACAATACAGCGCCCAGACGGAACCCTGGCAGACACAGCTGATCGAGCAGATGCTCTAGCCGATTACTTCGAGAACGTCCAATGGCAAATGCGATGTCCAGAGATCGTCCCGGAAATGCGAGCTCCAAGTGGTGATGCGTTGCCTACCAACATGGGCCGTTCATCATGGAAGAGCTTCTTGGAGCACTACGCCGGTTACAACGTGGCGGAATTCTGGGGCCGGATGGGATACCGCCTGATTTTTGGAAAGCATCAGGGTCGGACCCAGACGGTTCTCCAATAATGTTCGGCTTGTGCCAGAATTGTTGGGAACAAAAAGAATGCTTGAGTCTTGGAGGCGTGCGAATGTAGTCCTGCTCTTCAAGACGGGAAGCATCAAGGTTTCAGAGAACTACAGACCAATATCTCTGTCAAATATGATATAAATTATTGGCGTTGTTGATCCACCAACGATTGCTTCAAGGCGGCGCTGAGTCCTGGACGTAGGTTTCGCCCTGGACGTGGGACGGCCGACGCCCTCATGCTCGTCCGGCGCATGGTCAACGCGGCGTACAGCTCCAAGGAAGGCAGTCTTGTTTTGTTCATGTTAGATTGGGCCAAGGCGCTTGACAGGCTCAAGCCGGGATGTATGCGCGATGCTTTACGACGATTCGGACTGTTCCGGGACACTGCAGCCACGGCTGACGCTATTTAGTCGGAGCGCTACGTCACGATTGTGGACCATACACGAATACCCATTGTAAGACGACAAGAGGCAGGCATCGCGCAGAGATGCCCACTACCCCCATACGCATACATTGCTGTACAAACGGCTATGTTTTACGACGCTTTCGGGTCCATCAGTCTCGAGGCAGAGTCCGCCTACGTTGTGACGCGCGACATCCTTTCTGTTGATGGTACACGATTGGCATCGCAGAGCATCATAATCAATCAGGACATGATAAAAAAAACGATTGTTGAACCGGGCTGTAAGCATGACATCGAGCTGAACTGGGAGAAGTATTTCAACCACTGCTGTCGCTGTTCGGCGTGATGGAGGTTCAATCAAGACTGTGCGGGGAACTCTGTATTTTGGCGGTGTGCTTTCTTGCGACGGTACGGCGGCAACCGAGATCAACAAACGATTCGGGGAAGCGCAGGGCATCTTCAGCAAGCTTGCTAATATTTGGTCACACGCCGTTGTTGACATGGTGCGGTGTTAAGCAACGTATTGTATTCGCTCGACTCCTTGGGGTTGTTGAAGGCGGACAAATCGAGGCTCGACGCGTTCCACTGCCTCTGCCTGCGCCGCATCTTGGGTATTCCACTTTCATCATATTCGCGAGTTCGCAGTTCAGACGTTTCTGAACGAGCTGGCAGCACACCGTTCTCTCAAATCCTACGTGACGGGCAACGGAAATTAGATATCACATTCGCTTCCAGTGGACCATCTTGTTTGTCACGTCAATGCTCGTGTAATCTAGACGGCACCCCCACGCATGTTGTGTAACGCCGTCGACGCGCACGGCCACGACAGCAAATGGGCCCCCCAGGTGTACGAGTTGACCCAGCATCCCTGAGGCATCCCTTCTTCTCTCCTTGTGTTCCCCCTCGTCATGTCTCGTCCTCTCATCGCACCGGTGGAGATTTGTGAGAGTTTCACTCTTGTCTTCTGGGACCTGTGGGCGACTCGAATGGAGAGTTTGGTCGATCCCCGACGTATCCCTTACCAGCAGTACGAGCGCAGAGTGAACAATCCCACGTGGTGGCATAATCGTTTTCTCGAATTCTTCGAGCGATGCATCCGATGACCTGCCAGTCGCGCAGTCTTCCGTCCACGAGTCCTGCAGGATGCATGGCTCAGTGGTGGTGGAGGGGCCGTTTTGGTCGACTTTCCTCCATCCCCGCCGCTGCCCCTTCCCCACCTCGACGTCCCCCCGGCTGCCGGCCCTTTTGGCCCAGGCATGGCCGAGGGCGCCGCTCTCAGGCCATTCGGCCGCCGGGCCCCCCAGCATTCGCCGTCGCAGCTTCGCCCCTGAGGGTGGCCGGCGCGCGCCGGCGAGCGGGTGGATGTCTGAGGCCGATGGCGACAAGGCGCGTGGGCTTCCCAGATGGGGCCCGGTCAGATTCGAGCAGGGGATCGATAAGTGGTTTGCCCCAGAATGGGTGTTCTCGTCGAGTGTATGAAGTACACGCAGAGTGCTCGTTGAGCAATCCACGTATTTTTTAAGTAGATTCGGCGAGGAAAAAAATGAAATTTTGGGTGAGCCAATTCTGTAGTCGATCCCCTATTCGATCGATTGGGTCGGAGGATCTCGGCGCATCGCCGAGTCATCGCCGATGCGGCGGCTCCATGTGGTGCGTTCCAGAAAAGGCTTCGCCTGCGAGGGCCGAAGGAGGTGCCATCCCTTCCGCGGCGGTACGGCGGCGGAAGTAGAAAAGCGGCGCCTCCGCCTGCGGAAGGGCGGCGGAAGGTCGGCAGAAGCTGGCGGCAGTAGAAAGTCGCCTCCCCAGAGATGACAACATTTTGGGTCAGGGTTCCTGGAGCTCTTCATGTGGAACCCGATTTTCTCCTCGCTGGCGTCGCCGATTCACCGCCGACGTCGCCGATGCATCGTCGATGCATCTGCGACGCGGCGCGATCCTACGACGCTATGTGCTCGGACCCCATCTGGGAGGCCTCTGAAGGCCGCCCCCCGGATACCGACGACCCCGGCGGATCTCGGGTGTTGCGTAATGAAGGAGGAGGAGGAAGAGGAGGAAAAGGAGGAGGAGGAGGAGGAGGAGGAGGAGGAGGAGGAGGAGGAGGAGGAGGAGGAGGAGGAGGAGGGGGCGGGGGGCGATAAGCGAGCGACGAGGGAAGACGGGTTCGTCTCCACCGACCTTGGCGCGTGAGCTGCCCCCGCAAGGTCGCGCGCAAGTTTCCACGTTTCCAGCGTGGAGTGTCGCGCTTGTGGCCCGCGTAAGTCGGGATCCCGCAAAGGGTGTGTGTGCCAGGGATGTGTGTGAGTTCGATCTTTTTTGCACCGAGCCGTCCACAGCAGATGCATGCCCCCCAGTCGAAGGCAGATCCCGATGGTTGTTCGGTGCGGTACTTCGAACTCATGCCCCCGCTCAGGGTCACCCCCTTCTTCGTGGATCCCGAGTAAGCCGCGGCGTAAGGTCGCTATGTCAGCTTGCGTGAGGCCTGTTCTTTTTCGTCGCCCAGATGTCGGCGGCGACCGAGGGGGGGAGACAAGTCAGGTGCGCTCGCGTCATATCTGACGTCCTACCCATCCCTCCCTTTACCATGGCGTAGATATCCTCTCTATTCGCACAGTCGGATGTCGAGCAGGGCAATGATCGCGAGAGGGTACGCGATGCATGGTAGAGCACGGCATGGCATGGCGTAGAAGAGCATGGCAGAGCGTAGCATGCCATAGCATGGCGTGGCATCGCGCAGTGAAGCGTTGCAACACAAAGCATTGCAACGCAAAGCATGGCATCGCACAGCGGCGCAGAACACAACACCGCACAGCATGTCATGGCATGGCGCCAGGTTCCTTGGAGGGTAAGTGGATCGTCTTCGAGAGGTCTGGGCTGGTCTGGAGTCTTGGCTCCATGTCTAGCTCCTCGGGCTCCCCGAAAAGCTCCACAAGGCGGGGCTGATGGAGAGCATCCGCTGGCTCTGCTTCCAACATCGCCTTCTCAAAGCAGAAACGGGGCTTCCCGCTTGATACTTCTGCGGCCCCAGAAGTTTCACGAATCGACACCGAATGTGTAATCAATTTTGTGGTGTTGTTCGGGGGGCATTTTTAGATTTTGGGGCCTGTTTGGAAGGACCGAAAAAGCCCGCGCTGCCGCGGGAGCACGATTTGGAACAACCAGGGGCGCAGAAGTGGGGCCAGCGCTTCAGCGGGAGCAACGTGTTGAAAAAAAGCCAAGCGAACAGCCATGTTCTGGGAATCCTGTGTGCAAAAGAACAGTATGCTGAGGGGGGCCGGACATCTTCCGGACGTCATCAGGGGAGATAGGAGAGTAGTATTCATGTAGTGTAACTGCAATTGGGAAAAGGCCTTGTCTGTTAAGTGTTCTGCGTCTTCGGGGAAGGTCCAGCAAGCTTCAGCTATGGCCAGGGTACGTCCGAGCCTTCTGAGAAGGCCCGCCCCTTCTCACTTGCCCCCCCAGGCTCGTCGCCGAAAATGGGGGGGTGAAGAAAGGTGCACCTGTCGGGCACCTTACGGACCCTGAAGAGGCCCTCCGAGGCCCACAGGGGTCACAAAAGGTGCACGCCTCCTCGCCTTCACATTTATCGCCCCCCACGAAGCAAATTTCGAGGATCGCTGGCAGATCCCTGGGCAGTACGAGGTGAAGCAGCTCATCTCGAAGAGCAAAAAACTGCGTCAGTATGATTTCTCGGAGGTCCGCGCGGATTCCTTTGATCGGCGTTGGGCCCTCTTGGCGGCGCCTCTGGCTCCGCCCCTGGCGCGCTCTTCGCGCCAGGGAGTGGGGACCAGCGCCGATCCGAGAAGTCCACGCGGAACTCCGAGAGTCATGCTTTTTTTTGCAGTGGTTTGTTCCTCAGTCGTCGGCTCCGGCTCCTACGGCAGCGTCTGCGAGGCCAAGGACAAGCGCAACAATCGGCAGGCGGGCAACGTCAAAATGAGGGGGGGGGGGGAGGCCGACGTCAAACAAGGGGGTCAGGCGGGCGGGCAGCTTGCGCGGGCGTGCGGGCGTGAGCTGTCCGTGTCGGGCCGCGCGCGCGCAGTGCCGCGGGAGTGGCCTGCGTGAGCCATCGCGTGAGGTCGCCGTGCTTACGTGAGATCAGAGGAGGAAAAGGTACCCATACCTCTACCCCCTCGCCTGTTTTCCTCTTTGGGCCTCCTGGGGGGCCCTCGTCGCCACCGCTGCATTCGCCCTGAAAAAGAGCACTCTTTTTCTTCGTCGATCAGGTGGCCATCAAGAGGATAGGGCACCTCTTCGACGACTTGATCGACTGCAAGCGCATCCTGCGCGAGATCGCGATCATGCGGCAGCTCTGCCACGAAAATGTGGTGCAGATTTACGACATCGTGGAGCCCAGGAACATGAAAACGTTCGACGAGCTCTACATGGTGATGGAGATCTGCGACTCCGACCTGAAGAAGCTCTGCCGCACAGACGTGCAGCTCGAGCCGAGCCACGTCCACACGCTGCTGTACAATTTGCTTGTTGGCGGGGGAGCCATTGGCCCATACCCTTTGCCTCCGACTTCCGCACCTTCCGCTGTCGCTTCGCGGATGCGGCGGTCGCCGAGGCCGCCGCTGCGGCCTCGGTGGCGGCCGTCGCTGCGCGGCGCCAGCCGCGAGGAGGGTCAGAAGGTGGAGGTCGGGGGTGGGTGGTGCCCTCCCAGGTTGGCATCAAGTACCTCCACTCCGCGGGGATCTATCACCGGGACCTGAAGCCAGCGAACTGCCTCGTGAACCAGGACTGCTCCGTGAAGATCTGCGACTTCGGGCTCTCGCGCGCCATTGGGGAGGCGACGATGACGTTGTCGCCGCCATCGTGGTCGGGGTCGTCGTCGTTCGCCACCGTCGTTCGTCGTGATGGTCGTCGTCGTCGTTGCGTCCGTCGTCGTGGCCGTCGCGGCCCTCTCGTCGTTATAGTCGTAGTCGTCGGCGCCGCCATCATGGTCGTCGGTCGCGGAGGCGGCGGAGGAGCCGCCGCCGCCGTCGTCGTCTTGGTCGCTGTCGGTCGTCAAGGCTGCGCGGGGGACGGAGGAGCTGCCCAACACCCCGCGGGGCGACAACCAGGACGAGGCCCAGAAGAGGCCCGCAGTGCCCCACACCCAGCGGCTGAAGAGGAACCTCACCGGGCACGTGGTCTCGCGGTGGTACCGAGCCCCGGAGCTCATCCTGCTCCAGGAGAACTACACGGAGGCCGGGGCTGGACCTAAACGCTGTCTTGCTGGACTTCGGCTGCGTTTTGTTTCTCGTTCTGGGAGGGGGGTACAGGGGAACAGGTAGAGCAGAACGAACAACAAGAGCGAAGACATAACGAAAAGCAGCGTTGAGGCCCAGCCCCGGCGGAGGCCATCGACGTGTGGTCCGTCGGCTGCATCTACGCGGAGCTGCTGGGCATGCTGGAGGGCACCGCGCCCCAGGAGCGGGGCCCGCTGTTCCCGGGCACCTCGTGCTTCCCCCTGTCCCCGAGCCGCAGGCACGAGACGGACTACAAGTACCACACCCGCGGGAAGCACGACCAGCTGAACATGATCTTCAACCTGCTCGGCACCCCCTCCGACGAGGAGATGGACCTGCTGGGGCACGGGCGCGAGGACGCCAAGCGGTACCTCAAGTGCTTCGCGAAGCGGGCGGGGGCTGGTCTCCAGTCGAAGTTTCCGCACATCCACCCGGATGCCATAGCGCTGCTTGGCGGCCTGCTGAAGTTCAATCCTCAAGACAGAATAAATGTCGACAAGGCTCAGCCACGCGCAGAGGGGGGTGGAGGGGGAGGGCTTCTCAGAAACACCTTATCTGTAGGTGTAAGGCCGGCGCCTTCTAAGCAGCAGCCTCCTTTTAAGAAGCCTTTCCCCCTCCTTCCACCCCCTTGTGGGCGCCGCCAAGAGGCATTGGACGACCCCGTGTTCGCAGAGATGAGGGACCCGGTCAGGGAGACCCCATCCGCGCACTTCATCTCCCTCGACTTCGACCGGGAGCCGGACCTCGACGAGAGCAAGCTCCGGCAGTATTTCAAGCTGGAGATCCGCAAGTATCATCCTGAGCTGCAGGAAGAGGACAAGATGAAGGAGTCTGCAACCGCGTTCGAACCCCACCCCCGCAGGCCTGGACGGCACTGTGGCATCTGATCCTTCTGGCAAGGGTTCACTTGGCCGCAGGCTTTCCTCCAATTCTGCCCCCCCCCCCCCGCCCCCCCTCTCGTCGGGCTTTTTCTCAGGGAAGGCCCGCGTGGGCCGGAGGTGGTTCGCACGTGGTTGCCCAAGGAGGTGGACGGCCTGGCGCGTCCAGGCGAGGGAATATAACGCTGAAGACCACGACGTCGTGAAAAGTCGCCGCCAGAGCTCCTGGCCCCCGTCTCCGTGAGGGACCCCTGGGCCCAGATCTCGGCGGCGAGCGAGGGGCGGAAGCGAGAAGGCCTCTCAGGAGGCGGCGGGAGTTCTCAGACACCCTCGCGCCCTCTGAGAAGTTTTTTTTTCTGCGTCTTCGGGGAAGGCTTCGAGGCATTCTCAGAGGACCAGGGGGACTTCCGAGCCTTCCGAGAAGGCCCGCCCCTTCTCACTTCTCCCT